GTTGTACATTGGATTGACGAGAACCGAAATACTCAGTCTTCAAGACTGAGATAAACCTATACAAAAGCATATTTATTTCAAAATCAGGGGTCAGTATGCGATAGTTGTTTGGTTATGGTAGGAGAGGGAACCCTAACTTATTTTTAGGAGCCATGGTGGTACAATGGGTTAAACTCTTGATCTGGCTGAACTGCTGACCTGAAGGTTGGCGGTTTGAATCCGCGAAATGGGGTGAGCTCCCATCTGTCAGCTCCAGCTGCCCATGCAGAGACATGAGAGAAGCCTTCCACAGGATGGTAACACATCTGGGTGTGTCCTGGGCAATGTCTCTGCAGACAGCCAATTCTCTCGCACCAGAAGCGACTTGCAGTTTCTCAAGTCGCTTCCAACATGATTAAAAAACCCCAAAAGACCAGCACTTTGTACTATTCTGATTTGTTAGTTATTGTTTTTTCAAGTCTTACTTTGAATAATAACAACAGTTACAAAGTTTAAAAAAATACTTTGAATTAGCTATTATAATGGTAGTTAACTATTTCTTTGGCTTAGCTTACGTGGAGTGTAATTGGCTAACTGAAACATTCACTCCTACCTCAAATAGACAAGAACTCTTTCTCCCACCCTGGGCATTATACAGATATATAAACCCAATTTTCCTAGTTTCCAACAGACCTTGCAACCTCTGAGGATGCCTGCCATAGATGCAGGCAAAACGTCAGGAGAGAATGCTTCTGGAACATGACCATACAGCCCTGAAAACTCACAACAACCCAATATTTCAATGTCTTCTACCAAACCTGACTGATCTACCAAGAAAACAATGCACTAGAACCCATAGATGTGAATGTCTCTATCAATAATGCCTCTGATCAGGCATATCATCAGATGCCAAAATATAATAAACCAAAAGCATCACAAAGAAATGACAGTTCTATCTTTTGAATCAACATATAATTCTCTGTATACCATCCCTAGGACTCTAGCTAAACATTAACTGCACTGTTTTTTTCTTATTATATTTTCTGAATAGTCAGAATCACACAAGTTATAAGGGATCGATATCAGGCGAACATCTCTATTGTGCAGAAAAAAGAGCACAGCATTGTCATTCTTCAAGTGTTTCATATCAGATAAAAAGCTGCGAATCAAATGTTTAACCACTCCTTTGTTCTATTTCTTTTTAAGAGAACTTTTCTTGAAGAACTGAACTATGGAGAAGGCTACAATCTTTTGCCCCAGCATGTTAACCTTGAGCTTAATAAAAGGGAGTCTAGAGAGTCAGCATGGTGTGCCGGTTTAAGTACTGGATTAAGACAAGGATTTCAAACACTGTTCATGGAGGAGCCTCCAGTGGTGCAATGGGCTGAACCCTTGTGCCAGCAGGACTGCTGACCTAAAGGTCGGCAGTTCAAATCTGGGGAACGAGATGAGCTCCTGTCTGTCAGCTCCAGCTTCTCATGTGGAGACATGACTCCTTGAATCAACTACCAGGTAGGATATGCAATACAGCCATTAGGGGAAAGTTTCAGCATCTTTAAGGTAACTATTTCATTGGCCTACCAATCTCATGAATAATTTTTTTAGATGTTTATCCTTTGCCTCTTCTCTTAACCTCAGTGACAGATGCCCAAACTCACAGAATTTTTATCCTGCAACAAACACAAAGATATGCATAAGCCTCCGGTGGAACAATGGGTTAAACCCTTGTGCCGTAGACAGGAAAGAGGGTGTATGGTATAGAGTAGTGTAATACTAGCTAGTTATTTCTGTATTTTTTATTTTGAATTTTACTAGAAAAAGATAATAAGGCAGAGCCAATTACCTGAGGAAGCATCGAAACTGGCCTGTACCCGGGAAACCAGTCGTACTCACCCGGCACTACAGATTACTTGACCGTCTTTGACATCTAGGAACAACAACTATTATAAAGGACTAAAACTATAATTTTGTGGCAAAGGACTTACCCAAGAGTAAATCCACCTCAACTTCACTTGCATGAAGAATTTGAACATTTATATGTGCATTGATTTGTTTGTTGACTCTATGAAGACTTAAGAACAGATTCAAGACGGCAATAAGACTGTTTTTGAACTTTGGTTGTATTACAGAACCTATACTACTACTATTGTACTGCTAGAATAAGTGTTACCTATATGTACAACTTTATGTTAAGTATGCATTATTAACCTAGTTGGAAGCCTTAGTTATACTTGAGAATCTTAGCAAGTTTGGAGTAAAATTATGTGAGTTATACTACTTAATATGTTATGAGTATACTTTGTGAAAAGTGGATAAATAGAATACCTATATGAGAAGTATTACACTACTCTATACCATACACCCTCTTTCCTGTCTACTGCATATTATAGACATCTGTGTGTTTAGTTAAATCCTTGTGCCGGCAGGACTGCTGACTGAAAGGTTGGGGGGTTTGAATCTGGGGAGCGGGGTGAGCTCCAGTCTGTCAGCTTCAGCTTCTCATGTGGGGACATGAGAGAAGCCTCCCCCAGGATGGTAAAACATCTGGGCATCCCCTGGGCAATGTCCTTGCAATTCTCTCACACCAGAAGCGATTTGCAGTTTCTCAAGTCGCTCCTGGCATACACAAAAATGCATAAGCTGATGCCCTACAGATGTTGGGATCTTATAAGAGCTGGGGATAATGGTGGTACAATTCAACACACCTGCAAAGTATAGCATGAAAGAGTTGCAAGAGAAACAGAGAAAATGTAAAATCAAGCAGAGAATGAATGAAGACAAGGACATTTTACAGTATTCATACCAAAGACTTTGCCAAAATAATGGTTTGGTTGCTACAAGAGCAGGAAACAGCTACTACAAGAGGATTGCTTCCTAGCATTATTTTCAAACATTAGCAAATGTGAAATTACATGTTGAGGAATGCAATTCATATGGGTAAGCCAAGCAACTCTGCCACCTGGTTCATTAAAAACTTTCCAAGTTCAAAAGTGCCCAAATGTTCCAAGTCCTCCTGGTAACTCTATGGGAAGCCAATATATTCGGTTACTTCCCCGCTGTTAGCAGCAGAGCAACAAAGCACAAAGCAGTAACAGAGCGAGATTCCAAAAGAGAGCAAACCCATGAAACTGATCTCTGATGATAAGACAACAGAGTAAGTTCAGCATGATGTGTATTTGGCTGGCTGTGCTGTAATGGGACAGGGGATCACCCACAGAGATTGTAGCACTATGGGGATGTTTTATTACTGGCTGCAGGCTGAGTTTGGCTTGAATTACCCAAACTCTTGAATATATATCTTTTGAGCTAGTAACAGGTAAGGAACTAAATGTTAATGGAACTAAATGGTGCATGCATCAGGTGGGGTAGACAAAAAGAGTCAAATAACGTCAAATAACAGTTCAAGAAAGCAGTGCAAAAGATGGTGAAATGCAATTACCACCACATAGACACATAGGACACTCACTGTCAGTGCGAAAGGACAGGAGCCCATGTCTGGCTTGCCTCCACAACTAGTGCAAGTTGCCCAAAGGATCTCCATCAGTATATTGTGGAAGGCTTTCATGGCCGGAATCACTGGGTTGTTGTGAGTTTTTCTGCCTATATGGCCATGTTCCAGAAGCACTCTCTCCTGACATTTTGCCTGAATTTATGGCAGGCATCCCCCAGGCAATATGAAGCCAGACCTTGGAACTGCTAGGCCACTAAATGCTAAACAAGGTGGCCAACTGCTACATTCACACCTACCTACTGCGGCCCCGATGGCATAGTGCGTTAAACCCTTGTGTTGGCAGAACTGAAGACCAACAGTCACAGGTTCAAATCCGGGGAGAGCGCAGATAAGCTCTCTCTATCAGCTCCGGCTCCCCATGCAAGAAGCCTCCAACAAGAATGGTATGCAATCAAAACATCCAGGTGTCCCCTGGGCAACCTCCTTGCAGATGGCCAATTCTCTCACACCAGAAGCGACTTGCAGTTTCTCAAGTTGCTCCTGACATGACAAAAAAAACCTACCTCCAACAGACAAGAGTTCTTTCTCCCACTCTAGACATTCCACAGATATGCAAACCCCATTTTCCTAGTTTCCAACAGACCTCACAACCTCTGAGGATGCCTGCCATAAATGCAGGCGAAACGTCAGAAGGGAATGCTTCTGGAACATGGCCGTACAGCCCGGAAAACTCACAACAGCCCAGATCTCCATCAGGCTGAGGGAAGGAGGACATCCTATCAGTTTGGCTTGGAGAAAAAGAAGCGCAACACTAGGGAAAGAGGAGGGTGGTAACTGGTTTTGGGAGGAAAACCAGAATGAGTTCAAATCTGATCAACAGTGCTGTTGATCAGGAAGCTGAAGGGAAACTTAAGAAAGAAGTCGGGGAAGGAAGCGGCGCCAAGGATGCTGCCTGAGAAGCACGAGGTTTGACGTCTGGAGAAGTTTGGGGAGGAAAGAGGCGGCTTCTCGGGAGGCAAAGTCCAAAACAAAGCCGAGAGAAGGGCTCGGAAACAGCCTTCTCTTTGGGGGAATGCAACAGTGCCAGGACTGGAGGCTCAGCAGGGAGGGAGACCTCAAGAAAGAAGGGGACTCGGGGAATCAAACGAGGTGCCCCGACGTCCTAACCGCGACCCATGCCAGAGCCCCTGCATTCAGATGAGGAAGGGATGGCATAGGGGTGGGAGTCATGGTCGAGGGAGAAGGGTGTTGAAAGGGAAACCGCCGCGCCTGGGAGGGAGAAGCGCCAAGTCCCCAGGGTTGGGGAAGGAAGAAGCCCCTAACGCTGGGAGTCTCCCGCTCAGAGGTGCCCCGAAGTTGGGAGCGTGGGTGGCCCCCGAGCAGCTACAACCAGGAGAAAAGGCAGGAAGGAGTGGAGTCCAAGAGCCGGGCATCGGTAGGGCGCTTGGGCGGAGGAAGCTGCGTGGAGAGGAGCATTTGGGGCAGAAGTGCGGGGAGGCTGCCGGGGAGAGGGGTGCTTGTCTTTCCCCGCTCTGTCCAAAAGCCCAGAACAACCCGAGCCCTTCCTTACCTCGAGGCAAGGGGAGGCAGGCAACCCTCCGGCCCTCTCTCTTCTCCCGATGAGGCTCCCCAATGGCAGCGGAGGCAACTTTGGCGAGGAGGCGGCGCTCAAGTTGACGCGGAGCTGCTGCTGCTCAGCGAAGGGCTGCCGTTTCCGAGCTGAAGCCGCCGCTGGCTCTGCCTCGCTCTGGAAGGACGGCTGCCTTTCGCCCCGCCGCTTGGCGAGCCGGAGTCGCCCGCTGCAGCCAGCCCCACCTCCCCGCCTCCCGCCCAGGCCCCCGCCCCCGCCCCCGCCCCCGCCCCCGCCCCCTCCCCCTCCCCCTCCCCCCCCGGCATTGTTCGCCCTGCGCGCAGAGAGAGGAAGGAGCAAGCGCGTCCCGTCTGGCCCCGGGGCTCAGCGCCTGCCTGCCTGCCTGCCTTCCATTCCTTCGTCCACCTCCGCTTCCCCTCTCCTTTGCCTTCACCCCTCACCGTGGGTTCCCTTCGCCCCCCAAAACAAAGCTCTCAGGGAGCCCTTGCTTGCTCTCCTCTCGGACTGGCCCCTCCCTCGGAAAACTTTTGGGCAAAGGGGCCACAGTTCTGCGAACATAGGCCAACCGAACACCCTTCTCCTATGGCTCGACCCTAGTGTTCTCCTCCTTCAGTCAACTACTGAGTTGAGAGGATCCCAACCTTTGGTCCTCCAGGTGTTTGGGATTTCAGTTCCCCGAGGCCTCCGCCAGCTTGTCTCTTAGTCAGGGGCTCTGGGAGCTGGAGTCTAAAACACCTGGAAGACCAAAGGTGGGAGCCTCCTGGGCTCTTTCCACACAGCTGAATAAAATCCCACATTTTCTGCTTTGAAATGGAATATGTTTATTTTATTTTATTTATTTATTTATTTATTTACAACATTTATATGCTGCCCTTCTCACCCGAAGGGGACTCAGAGCAGCTTATATATATGGCAGTGTGAACTCAGGTAACCCAGTTCAAAGCTGATATTGAGGGATTGCCTGCCTTGATATTCAAGGTCCCCTTCCACACCTCAATAAAATCCCACATTTTCTGCTTTGAAGTGGAATATATGACAGTGTGGACTCAGATAACCCAGTTCAAAGCTGATATTGTGGGATTTTCTGCCTTGATATTTTTGGGCCCCTTCCATACAGCTGAATAAAATCCCACATTTTCTGCTTTGAAGTGGAATATATGGCAGCGTGGACTCAGATAACCCAGTTCAAAGCTGATATTGTGAGATTTTTATTTTAAAAAATTTGCCTTGATATTCTGGAGCCCTTTCCACACCGCTGAATAAAATCCCACATTTTCTGCTTTGAGGAATATATGGCAGTGTGGACTCAGATAACCCAGCTCAAAGCTGATATTGTGGGGTTTTCTGCCTTGATATGCTGGGTTCTATGGCTGTTTGGAAAGGCCCTTTCTCTCCTTCACTTGGAAGACTGCTTGGCTTTTGTTCCAAATGGGTGAATTGGGAAAAGGTTGAGGCAGGGAAACAGAGTTGTGAGAATATGGTCCAATAGAAGATCCTTCTCCTTTGAGCCAAACCAGGTGTTTTTCTCTTTCAGTCAGCAACTGAACTGAGGATTCCCAACCTTTGGTCCTCCAGGTGTTTTGGATTTCAACTCCCAAAGGCCTCAGCTGTCTTGTCCATTTCTCAGGAATTCTGGGAGCTGAAATCTAAACACCTGGAAGAGCAAAGGGTGGGGCCTTTTGCCCTCTCTGCTTGGACTCTCTCAGGGCCCTTCCACACAGCCCTATATCACAGAATATCAAGGGAGAAATTCCCACAATATCTGCTTTGAGCTGGGCCCCCTTCCACACAGCTGAATTAACCCTCTGCGCCACCGGGGCTCCATGATGATGATGATGATATCAAGGTGGAAAATTTGACAATATCTGCTTTGAACTGGGTTATCTGAGTCGACACTATCAGATATTCCAGTTCAAAACAGATAATGTGTGATTTTTATTCAGCTGTGTAGAAGAGGCCTCACAGAGGGCCCTTCTACACTGCCCTATATCACAGAATATCTGCTTTGAATCCACACTCGGATAATGTGAAAATTTTTGCCTGGATATTTTGAGATATAGGGCTCTGTAGAAGGGCCCTCAGAGAACTTTTGGGCATTGCTTCCAGATGGATGAAGTGCAAAAGATTGAGGCAAGGAAGCACAGTTGTGAGAATGTGGGCCCATAGGACACCCCTCTCCTTTGGGACAAACTGGGTGTTTATCTTCTTTAGTCAGTAACCAAACTGAGGGAATCCAAATCTTTGGTTCCCAAACTTTGTTCCTCCAGGTGTTTGAGATTTCAACTCCCAGAGGCCTCAGCAAACATGCCCAAGTTATCAAGAATTCTGGGAACTTGACTCTAAAACTCCTGGACAACCAAAGGTTGGGAGCCACTCTCTGAGGCCAAGCGTATACCTTTTGATACTGATTCAGAAGAGGTTTTCTATTATCTATCTGAGGCTGAGAGAGTGTGACCTAGAGGCTTTTATTGCCAATAAAGAATTCATACCCCTGGTCGCCAGAGTCATAGTCCAGCATTGAAACCACCAAACCACACTGGCTCCTGAGAGTCTTCATAGGAACATTTCTCTCAATATGTGGTTATTATATGTAAAGGGAGGGGGGAGCTTGTTTCCTCCCATGACCCAGTAAATTACATGACATGAAGGAGAAGTGGTGCTTGGTAATCTTCTCTTTTTTCATAAAATCCATTTATCCAAACACAGTAACAGTGAAAACTACTTTTGACATATTATCATTTTAATCCTATGCATTTTGGAAGGAGTGTTGAACAGCTATAGTGCCCTTGGGAGAAGCAATTGGGGAGAAAGTGGCAAAACACCGGAAAAGAAAGCAGAGGCAGTGCTCAAAACATGTTGGATGTTCTCCCTACCCCCCAGAACCATAACTAACCTACTTTATTTAATCATAACATCACTGAGTCTAAGAATCTTTTGTTTCCTATTTTGAAACCATTGCACTTCTTTCAAAAGCCTGCTTCCCTTTTCCTTCCTTGGGCTCTGTGTGACTTCTAAGATGCAGCATTGTCGGGGAAAAATGTTAATGAACATTCCTTTCTTTAGAGGGCAGCTGGGAGGTCTGCAGCAGCAAAACAACATAGTTTTGCAACATCTTTAAAAGCTTGAAACAACTTTGTGGTAGCAAAGAAGAGAAGGCTAAGAGGACACATGATAGCCATGTATGAATATGTGAGAGGAAGTCATAGGGAGGAGGGAGTTTTCTGCTTCCCTGGAGACTAGGACGCAGAACAATGGCTTCAAACTACAAGGAAGGAGATTCCATCTGAACATTAGGAAGAACTTCCTGACTGTGAGAGCTGTTCAGCAGTGGAACTCTCTGCCCTAGGGTGGTGAAGACTCCTTCTTTGGAGGCTCTTAAACAGAGGCTGGGTGGCCATCTGTTGGGGTGCTTTGAATGCAATTTTCCTGCTTCTTGGCAGGGGGGGGGGTTGGACTGGATAGCCCATGAGGTTTCTTCCAACCCTATGATTCTATGTTCTAAAACCCTGGCCTTCATCTATACTGCACAATTATAATGGTTCAATACTATTTTGATTGTCATGTTTCTGTCCTATAGTGTCCTGGTGCTTAGTCATTAGTCAGGCTACAATGCAGCATTTCAACAGAAATGAAGAAACCATGAAAATAAACAAATTCTGGCTACCAGTATTTAAAAAAACCCTCTAAAATTAGGACAGTAAATAAAGAACAAATCTGAAACACAGGGGAACTCCAGAGAAGAAACAATCAGGAACACCTAATCACCTCTCAACAAGGAATCCCCCCAGGCAGTAACAAGCCACACCTAAAAACTGTCAGGCCGTCAAATGCTAATCAAGGTGGCCAATTGAAATATTCATACCTAGCTCCAACAGACAAGAGTTCTTTCTACCACCCTGGACCTTCCACAGATATAAAAGCCAAATTTTCCTAGTTTCCAACAGACTTCACAACCTCTGAGGATGTCTGCCACAGATGCAGGTGAAACGTCAGGAGAGAATGCTCCTAGAGCATGGCCATACAGCCCGAAAAACCTACAACAAACCCAGTGATTCCAGCCATGAAAGCCTTCGACAATACATTATAATGCAATATTTAATGTGCTTACAAAAATATGACTGTACAATGATATTATGACAATGTTTGAATATCTTTATTAATGATGTGGACAAAGGTTTAGAGGGCATGCTGGTCAAGTTTGCAGATGACATCAAATTAGGAGGGAGAGATAATACACCAGAGGATAGGATTAGAATTCAAAAAGAACTTAACAGTTTAGAGAGCTGGGCCAAAACTAACCAAATGAATGTCAACAAGGACAATTGCAGTGATACTACACTTAGGCAGAAAAAATAAAATGCAAAGATACAAAATGGGTGATGCCTGCCTCGACAACAGTCCACGTGAGAAAGATCTTGGAGTCTTTGTGGATAACAAGTTGGACTTGAGCCAACAGTGTGATGCAGCAACTCAAAAAGCCAATGAGATTTTGGGCTGCATCAAAAGGAGTCTAGTGTCTAGATCGAGGGAAGTCATTGTGTCTTCGTATTCTGCTTTGGTTATACCTCACCTGGAATACTGTGGAAGGATGAACTTCCTGACCATACAAGCTGTTCAACAGTGGAACTCTCTGCCTCAGAGTGTGGTGGAAGCTCCTTCCTTGGAAACTTTTAAACAGAGGCTGGATGGCCATCTGTCAGGGATACTTTGTGTTTTTCCTGCATGGCAGGGGGTTGGACTAGATGGCTCGTGTAGTCTCTTCCAACTCTATTGGATGATTCTATGAGCTGCTAAGATGAGCCTATCACAGGAGACTGAGAGTGGTAGGTTTCCATTTTCAGGCAGAGACTTGAACACTGGTTTCCAGGTCATAGAGTGCAACTATACTATAGAAGTAATGCAGTTTGACAACACTGTAAATGTCAGGGTTCAATGCTATGGAATCATGGAAGTTGTACTTTTACAAGCTCTTTAGCTTTCTTTGCCAAATACTGTTAGTACTTCACCAAACTA